ATTTGTATAAGTATGTGTCTAATGATTTGTATTTTAGGGTTGAGTAGTTAGAAGTCTCTGATTCATTATGAAGCAGTCTGTGGTAGTTGTAGCATTCTTTCTTTCTTAGACTGAATTCTAAGTGAAATAATAGTAATTGTGGTGAGCTATAGATGTGGATAAAATGACCTTAAATTTAGACAGCATGGTGAGAGGGAAGCTCTGGTTTAACACTATAAGAACATTTTATATGTACTGTATAGGCTGTTCTTTTATTATAAGTTGTTCTAGATAACCACTATTAACAGAAGTCCAGATTAGTTTTTTTGTTTTTGTTTTTGTTTTTTTGAGGGGGAGTAGTTGTGTTATTTTATTAGCCTCAGATATAAAATCTGAGATTTGGGATTCTTTAGCAATAGTATATTTGGGTATATTTCACATATATTTTATAATATGCTATTCGCTGAAACAACATGATATATAAGTATCTTGCATTTTATTTATGGTTTTAGAAAATCCAATTTAAACTTTTCTAGGGCAGAGTAGGTCTAGTGCTGTGTATAATATTGCTTGTAACTGGGGGCACCTGGGTGGCTCAGTTGGTTGGGTGGCCGACTTGATTTCTGCTTAGCTCATAATCCCAGGATCCTGGGATCAAGCCCCACATTGGGCTCTGCGCTCACAGGGGAGTCTGCTCGAGGATTCTCTCTCTCCTTCTGCCCCTCACCCTGCTTGCTCTTGCAAGCTCTCTCTCTTTCTAAAGTAAATAAATCTTAAAAAAATATTGCTTGTAACTGAAAAAAATTGGAATACATTTCCCATACAGTTTGTATTTTATGAGTTTACATGAAATTTTTTCTGTGGAACAGAAGGCTGAGAAATGAACTAATGAAAAATTTCACTATGTGTAGTAATTAAATAGCTTTAAGTGGTGGAGATTAAAACTAGTTTACTTTTAGGATAGTTCATGTAGGAACTAAGAAGTACGACATAATCAGGTTCTTGGTCCTGGACTGATGGTAACTCTCAGAAATTTCGCACTAGAATCTGAGAGGGTCATGTAGATGATATGCTAATTTTCAGTGAATGAAAGTGGATGGCAGGTTTAAAGAAGCTTATGTAGTTAGCATTTGGGGAGCTCGGTGGAGTATTTTTTTATAGTGTTGAAATGGCGTTGAAGATTGGGAAGTTAAACAGGTTGTGATGCCAAAGGGGCTTTTATTGTACTCTGTTACATGAACAGGATCCCTAGTATAAATTAGGTTGATGTAACAAGAGGATCCTTTGGGAACTGATGTAAGATGTTGTAAAAATTAGAACTTATGGAAAAACCAGTTCAAAAACGTACCTGTTTCATCAATTTGAAAAAGAAGATAAAGAATTAGCTGTTAGGCTTTCCAAAAGAAAACATTTCTATTTTTTGGATAAAAAGTATTAATTACTCATTAGTTAAGCCTTAGAACGACCTATGAGACTACTAGAAACCACATTACCAGTGTCACATTTAGAGAGTTAAATTACATTTGAATTATTATTTTATATTTCACGGTATTTTGAAGTAGGTTTTTGTGGTATGTCTCAATGTGAAAAGTTGATGCTGAGGAACTGAGAGGGGAAACTAAAGCTGAATAGGAGGCTTCAGTATTACCAATTTCCCAAATTTGAATTCTCTAAGTCTTTAGTAGTATATTTGAAAACCTGATGTTTGAGAGAGTAATGATCACCAGAACTATAGACTCTACTAAATTGCTTGTTAGTTAACCCAAATGTCAGATGTTAAAGCTTTAAGCAGACAATGCAAATCTGTATTCGTTTTGCATTAAATGACTTGTATTTTCATTGGCTTCCTAATCAAATTTGAAAGAGATCTCTGACCCCTAATATGACAGTATTAATATTACTTTGGTTTTACATATAAACACTGGTAAACATTTCATGGACTTGTTTTGCAGGAACAGATTTTGTAAATTTTAGTGGATTTAGGAAAGTGGAAATTTATGAAAAAAAAATTCCCTATAGTTGTTTTCAAAATAAGAATTAGAGGACCAAGAAGAGATAGTAATTATTGACCTGTCTAGATTATTAAAATATTTAGGGGATTTGAAATTGTGTATTAATTACCATTTCCTGGGATTAATTTTTAGAAAAGCATTGACTGAAAATTGTGAGATGGAAAAGGTGGGAGGAAAGGAAGGTAGCATATTTTAGGATTATAAAGCATGTACTCATTCCACAAATGTAGTTTTTTAAAAAGGTTTTATTTATTTATTTGAGAATGAGAGAGAGAGAGCACAAGAGGGAAGAGGGTTAGAGGGAGAAGCAGACTCCCCGCTGAGCAGGGAGCCCGATGTGGGACTCGATCCCGGGACTCCAGGATCATGACCGGAGCCGAAGGCAGTCGCCTAACCAACTATTTTAAGTGCCTACTATGTGGTAGGAACTATACAGCAATATAAAAAGGACATACCTCCACACAAATAACATATAGTCCCCTTAAAGAACATACCATCCAGCGGGAGCCGTGATTAAAAGCCACATTAAGTTGACCTCTAATCCTATGTTGTTTTTTTTTTTTTTTTTAAGATTTTATTTATTTGACAGAGAGAGACACAGCGAGAGAGGGAACACAAGCAGGGGGAGTGGGAGAGGGAGAAGCAGCCTTCCCGCCGAGCAGGGAGCCCGATGCAGGGCTTGATCCCAGGACCCTGGGATCATGACCTGAGCTGAAGGCAAACGCTTAACAGCTGAGCCACCCAGGCACCCCACTAATCCTATGTTCTGTGGTTTAATGAAAATGATCTAAAATTAATGAAACAGTTTTTTATTTTTGCGTATTTTGCAGTCTTTTTTACTCCTCTGCAATGTAGTGAATGGATTTGTAGCATGTCATTGGGTTTGGATCTGTTTAATTTGGCTTTGCTTAATCTTGTGTTTTTGTGGAATCTTATATTAGTATGCAGAAGTACTCAGAGATACACATACCTTGTGCACAGTAGAAATTCCGAAAACCTTGTCATCTAAAAATTTTACTTTTAGAAGTGGGACGCCTGGGTGGCTCAGTTGGTTAACCGTTTGCCGTTGGCTCAGGTCATGATCCCAAGGTCCTGGGATAAGAGTCCCACATGGGGCTCCCTGCTCAGTGGGGAACTTGCTTCTCCCTCTGCCTGCCGCTCGCCCTACTTGTTCCCTCTCTCTCTGACAAATAAAATCTTAAAAAAAAAAATATTTTACATAGATTGAATGTGGTAAAAAGTAATTTTTTTTCCCTGTGGAGAATGATCCTATTCTTTGTGCTGTATGAAGATCTGGGATATGTATGGGAAATAAAATATGGGTTAGCATTAACCAAATTGTATGGTAAGATTAAAGCAGAGGACTTAACCTGGAAACTTGGAAGTAAATTACTGTTAAACCGGTTGAATAGATCTGGGAAACTTTCTCTTTTCCCCTTTTAGTAAATGGGAAAGTGACTATTTTACATTCAGAAATATGAGTAGATATGGTATGGGAAATTTTGATTGTATTCTTATGAACTAGCTGTGTTTTTGAAACAGTTAGATTACCACTAACTTTTCTTTATTTACCACCTGAAAGTAAATTCCATTGAATTATAAATTCTAAACTCTACTTGGAAATACTCCCATATTAGGCACTTGGTTTTGGTGTGTGTGTGTTAAATATGAACAAAGAACCAACTATTAAAAAAAAAAACACAAAAAACAAGGCAACTTACAGATAGCATGCAGGATTTTAATTAGGCTCAGGGCTTTGTCATTTGCTTTTCTTGCTATATCTGAACTAGATTTTATTTTCTGGAACTACCAAGCAGTAATTCTTGTGTTGTACCCCTCGAATGGTTACTTTAGGGCCATTTGTCATATGCTTCATACATTGCACACTTGAGGATTTTTATATCTAGTTGTCATCACTCATGATCATTTGGTGATTATTTTCGCAGTTACATAAAGAAGACTATATAATATTTCAATTAAGGTGGCCATGTAACTCCATCATTCAAATTTGGACACTTTTTTTTTTTTTAACTATTTTTAAGTAGGCTCCATGCTCAGTGTGGAGCCCAACATGGGGCTGAACCTAGGACCCTGAAATTAAGACCTGAGCTGAGATCAAGAGTTCAATGCTTAACCAACTGAGCTACCCAGGTTCATCCCCCCCACCCCCCGCCAAGTTGGACACTTTCGAGAGTGAAATATTACTTAAGAACAACAGATTTAAACCAAGACTGGCTAATACTAAGAAAATATTATGTAGGATGTTTTTGACTGCAAGTAACAGAAAACACAACCTAAACAATAAGGGAAGTATATTGGCTTGTGTATCCAAAAAGCCCAGTGTTTGGGAGTCCTACAGGTATGATTTGGTGAGGGCTCTGTTTCTCTCTTTTCTAGACTCTGACTTCTATGGCTGTCTTCCCTTATAATTGTTGGACGGTTGCAAATAGTGGTGTGGACTATATTCTTCTTTTATGACTAGCAGGAGAGAGAAGCCTGCTCCTTCCATAAGCATAGAATGAATCTTAAGCCTCATGATTATTAGATACTTCTGAACTAATCTCTGTGACAAGAGGAATGTCATGTGCTGATTGTCTTAGATATAAGATATTTGAATATCACTGAGGTAAGGAGGTTGGATTACTCTGATATTCTTAGACTAGTCAGAATCCATTCAGAAAACTGGTGTAGGGTCAGTCTGTTTAGGAAAGCAAGGCAGCTAAAGGAATAAGAAGGGAATGGATGTTTGGGATAGAATGGATGTTCGGGAAGCAGCCACAAAGTTCAATGTGAAATCCAATGTCATTGTTTGCATTTTTCCTTAGGCATCTGTTCCCGATTTCCTGCAAGAGCCTAACATACTATGTTTTCCTTCTAGTGAGAATTTGTAGTAAAAATTGACTTAGTAGCCTGGCAAGGGGAGAGAAAAAGAAAACTTATCATCCCATTTTTCTTTTTTTCTATAAGACTGTAGTAATTGATGATCATCTTTTTTGTTTGTTTAAACAGACTAATAGGGATGCCAAAGGAAAAATATGATCCTCCAGATCCTCGCAGAATTTATACCATCATGTCAGCAGAGGAGGTAGCCAATGGGAAAAAATCTCACTGGGCAGAATTAGAAATCTCGGGTGAGTGGAATCTGAAGCATTTAAACCAGGATATAATAGCAATAATGAACACAGATTGAATATTGTCATATTTACCTCTTTGCTGTACATTTTAAAATAGATGAACTAATTGAGAAAATAAAAGATGCAGAGGTACTAGTGCTTAATTTACCTGTGACTAAATATCTTTGTTTCTGTTCATTCTTTTGAGATAATACCTTGGGCCAGGATTGGCATCTGTAATTGAGGACATTGGGAGTTCAGTTTCTGAGTAAACCAGGTTCTTTAATATAATAGATTTTTTTTGGCTATTGCAGAGTAATTATTTTTGCAAATTGAAATCTTTGCTATTCTTCTGTCATCCTAGTGTTGGCAGAGTAGGAAACCTAGAAGCTATTGGTTTATTCTAACAAATAACTAATAACTGTGTTACATGACCGTTCATGTTTAGGATTTGTTAAAATAGAATATGACTTCTAAAAACTTACAGCCCCAGTCTACTAGTGAGAAAAAAATCAGACAAACCCAAACTGAAGGACATTCTATAAAATACCTAACTAGTAATTCTCAAAATTGTCAAAGCCATGAGTAACAAGGAGAGACTGAGACTCTGTCACAGCTGGAGGGGACTAAGGAGATATGATGACTAAATGCAAAATGGTATCTTGAATTGACTCTTAAAACAAAAAGGTGTAAAAACTGGTGAAATCCAAATGAAATCCGTAAATTAGTAATGTACCAATAAAAAGTAATGTACCAATATTAGTTTCCTAGCTTGGACAAATGTACCATGGTAATAGAAGAAGCTAACATTAGGGGAAACTGGATCAGGTGTATATAGGAACTCTATTATCTTGTTAATTTTTTTGTAAATCTAAAATTACTATAAAGTTAAAAGTATTAAAAATAGAATATAATTACTCTCTTTCTTTTATGAATTGGTACAATACAGATAATATGTAGAATGGGTTTTTTTTCCTGCAGTAGGCTTTCATTTGGAAGCATTAAACTCACATCATAGTGTCAATAGCAAGAATTACCTGTACCTTTAGCTAAAAGGTAACTGGGTGGATATAGGTGATGGTAATCAGTGGAATGAATATGAGTAAATCCTAATGGGCTAACCCAGGGTTTCTCAACTTGGCATTGCTGACACTTAGGGCCAGATAGTTCTTTGTGGTTGGGGGCGGTTGTGTGCACTGTAGGTTGCTTAGCAGCATTCCCGGTCTTTACCCACTAGATGCCAATCGTGCTACTTGCTCTCTTTTTAAAGATTGAACGGATGTTAATTTCATGGTAGACATGATATTGGAATTTTGACTATGAAGATAGTTATCGAGCAGTTTGGGTCCATAATATGATAGTTTCCCATATATATGTTTAAATATAAGTTAATATTAACGTATATTAATATGTTAAGCATATATTAAGTTTAAATACATATGAATATTAACATGAGGTATTACCATCTTGCAAAGAATTCCATTAAAACACACATGGGATAAAAGATTGCCGTAATACGTAGCAGTGGAGATCTTAAGGACTAATTTACATAAATTATAATTTTTTAAATTAAGTATAGTTGACACATAGTGATACATTAGTTTCAGTTGTACAGCATAGCGTTTAGCAGTATTCCTGGCCTCTACCCATTAGATGCCAGTAGCACTCTTCTGGTTTTGACCACCAAAATGTCTCCAGATTGCCAAAGTCCCTTAGGGAGTAAAATTGCCCCTGGTTGAGAACTGCTTGATTAAATCCTGGGTACAACTGAAATAGTTTTCTTTTACCAGAACCTCTCTTAACTTGAAAACTTTCTTTTCTATAAATACAAAATCCTAGTTTTTAAAATGATGGCACTTTAAGCCTGCTTATAGACAGCATGAAGGAACCTGCGACAGAAAGAACCCTGGACAGATGTAAGCTTGAGTTTACTGCTTGATAGCTGTGTGAAAAGTAACATTTACTGTTTGAGATTTTGTGCCCTCTCTACCTTCCGCTGCTCTTTTAATCAAAATCTGTTGTTTTGATAGTGATAAAAAATTAAATCCTATTTTACTTTTGTAAAGTTTATAAAATGATCTTCACATAAATTATTAAGATAATATCATATTTTAGAGCAGTTGTAGCTGGGTGATTTGCCCAGATTTATATACCTAGTAAGTGGTAAAAATCAGGACTCTGAAATAGGTTATCTGACGTTTTCTAATACATGTTCCACCATTGAGCTGTCAGATGCTGACTGATTGCTAAAGCTTAATGTGTGACCATTTTACTTGAGTGTATTGCATTTAATAGAAAATCTTAAACCAGAGTTGTTAATTGTACCATCAGAAAGGGGAAAGCTATCTCTTTTAGGGGTAAAATGGTTTTCTAGTGATCAATCCAATGTTGGTTCTAAATCTATTACTCTTATCTATTTAAAGTTTGTAGAATAATCCAGGCCCAAAATATGGATAAATCTTGCACTATTAATTTTTGTGGAGTATGTAAGAAATACTTTCATTAGGACTGTGCCTTAAAATTCAAGACTCTTCTATCACAAAAGCTTAAGTCAGCCCCATGTTTTTCTTGAGGCCTTATCATCACCCTGACTCCAACGGTCTCCTCATTATGCCACATCTCATTTAATACATGGGAAATTCATGAGAAATAGTGGTTGTCAGGCAGAAGTGGCATGAAATTAAAGAAGGGCCAAGTATGTTGGAAGCAATCAAATGGCATTAATACAAAATTAAATGTCAAAGATGGAGTATCTGTATATATTGCAGTCTCTTCTACCACTTTTTATTTCTTGAAGTTGAGTCCTTGTCTTTGGCCTTGAATTTAATGCTTCAGTGTTTTGCCTTTTAGGTAGAGTGCGGAGCTTAAGTACGTCACTTTGGTCATTGACACACTTGACAGCACTGCACCTAAATGACAATTACCTTAGTCGCATTCCACCTGATATTGCCAAGCTTCATAATCTGGTTTACCTGGATCTGTCATCCAATAAACTCAGAAGTTTACCAGCAGAACTAGGAAACATGGTGTCTCTCAGGTAAGAAAATATTATAGATATGACTCACTATATAAAATTTTAAATTTACCAAATAAGAAAATTATGGGATATTACTCCTCTTACAGGAGGATTTCTATATGTGTTTAAAGAACAAATGATACGAACTGTTTAAACAGGGCTTGAGTTGGCTTCCATTGAACATTTCCTTTAACTTGAAGGTTTCTAGCTAGAATGCGCTTCTATTTCTTTCGACAGACTTGAGGTGGGGTGGGGTTAAAATACTAAGTCTCACTTTAGACTCAAGTGTGTGGTAATTGTAAATAATTGGGGAAATAATCTGTTCTTGTAAACTTTTAGGAACATGTCTTTGTTCTATAAGGAAAAGTATAGTTATATATCACAAATCTTTTAAGGAAACCTTTAAAACTTGATATTAAATGGATTTATTTCTAGCCTTTCAGGATTCTTTAAGATAATTTCTTCATAGGAAAAAATTTTGTAGGTTTTTTATACTCATTATACAATGAGAACATTTGTATAAATGTTCTCAGTATCAACAGGGATTGCTTTTCTATGTTTGTATGCTGAGAAGTAATTTTTAAAAATTGCTGTCATATATTTAAAATTAAACATTTATATATTGTTTTAGAATCTTGCTCCTCGCCATCTCCTTATTGTATGTTTTTGTTGGTTTTCTTTTCTTTTTTTTTTAAAGTACTTTTTAGCTATCTAATGAGGGGTTGTTTATTTTTTCTGGAGTCTGGCCAAAATTTCAAAATCATAAACATGGATCTTATCTATATTATCCTATTATCTGTATTATCTTACGCTTTATTTTCAGTTTTTATGTTCTATGTCAGTGATTGTTCATCATAGTATCTTAATGTGATTACAATTGTAATCAATTATAAAAATTGGTAAAGATGATTGGCCATTTTTTCTATGAATTAGACTGGATTCAAGGATATCGGTTGGATACTAAGAATACCTGTCACTCTGATTTGTATCTCTTAGACATTTGGGTGAGAGAGAAAAGGGAATGGATTTAGCCCGAGAATGATATACAATTCTTACAACGTTAATAATCAGTGTTGGAGAATGAGTTAATTATAGAAACACTGTTAACAGTTGTGGCAATTACACATTTTGTGGTACTTTAATATTGCACAACATTTTTGGATTGAAAGTATAGAAATATGCCTTGAATGTAAATATCACTCATGGTATATTAGGGAAGGTTAAGAAAACAGTTGCAGATATTAATAAAGTTTGATATATTAAACTAAACTTTTTTTTTTTTTTAACAGGGAATTGCTTTTAAATAACAATCTGTTACGGGTTTTGCCTTATGAACTTGGTCGGCTCTTCCAGCTACAAACTCTAGGTTTGAAAGGTGAGTGATTTTTGAGATGACAGTATTAACACTCAGTATTGTGTTTGTGAGGCTTTTAAAGACAAATTTGGTTACAGTATAGATCAGGTGTAGCATAATTTTAAGAATGTAAATATGCTTTCTTTTGAAATAAAGTGGTTCTTCATTATCAGATTGAGTTTCAGAATTTTAGCATGCTGCCATCATTTTAACAAACTTGTTTGGGGAATTTTTTTTTATATGTTTAATTTTTTATAAAATTCTGACATTTCTTAGAGGAGGTATTTTAAATTTAACACTGTAGTTCCCCCACCCTTTTTAAGAGAATGACTTAATAGAGTAAACCCTAACCAGAATGACCCATATCAAGTTTTGGTAGAGTAGATAAAACAGCATTGACATGTTGTATAAGAGAAAAAAATTATAACAGTAAAAATGAACGATACGTAATAAGTCTGATTATTCTAAATTGTATAATCCAAAATATATGTTCCTTGATAATCTCATTTCAGTCAGTTTGGAATGAAAGTCATTCTTAATTCATATAAATACTGAAACTTGTAGTTTTTTCTTATAGCATTGCATAGGAAGAAGGGTTTATTTTGAATTCAGAGTACTAAATACAGATGTACTGTTTGGTTAAACGTTTTATTCTGTGCTCATAAGGAATGAACATTAATCACAGCCTTAGAAAGTAAATCCTTTTGTTATTTTCCTTCTTCAAAGACAATTTGAGTCTCTGTGAAAATGTTTGCATTTGCTTATGTCATATAATGGAGTATTAAGAATGAAGCTTGAATATGAATGGAAAGAATCCTGACATTATTAGTTGAAATGACAGAAATGGTGTTAGACTTCTTTGTACAGTTAAACCTTTGTAAATTACATAATTATATGAATGGTCTGTCTTGTGTTTTTAGTTTCTCTGTAGGACTTTATTGATATATTTTTTTATTATATGAAGTGGACCAGGGGATACTTACCTAAAATATTTTCTTGAGGTTGAACCCAAGGCAACTCTTGGGACATTTCACCTTAATCTATATATGCTAAATCTTATTCTTAAAAAATAGTTGAAATAACCAGCTAGAGTTGGAGTGGGAACAGGTCTGTTCCTTTCTATTAAATAATATTATGGAATGGTTGTTGTTATTTATAATCTTAGATTCATGGAGTATGAAATCCACATACGCTTTCATACTGATTGTAATAATTTTTTGTCTCTAAGAATAACATTGTTTCTTTTAACACCAGTTAGAACAGCTGTTTTCCTCCTGCTAATATTGATGGAGAGCACATCAGTGACAAATGGATAATTTACTGTTGAACTCCGTGATTTACCCTTTGTACCGTGTAATGTTCCCGAAAAAGCAAATATTATATATCCTCCTGTTTCATAACTTCTGTGTTATCTCATATAAAGATACATTCCCATAAAATTTATACTAAGCATCAACTGAATGAATCATTCTGAATATCTATTATTTCCTCAGGCCTTCATTCTGTTTTACTAGTGAAAGTCTTACTTAATCTTCCAAACTACTGTTTTTGCCAGGTTTTGATCCTAGTGTCTTTTTGTCTGCCAATTCACATTTGTTAAAATCTCTTCTTAGACCTCTAGTCTTTCAGATTAGGCACCAGCTCTGCCTTGTGAACTCTAACTTAGCTTTGTTCATGCCTGTAAATAGTTTTCATTAAACTACAGTCCTTCTCTTTTCTTTGAGAATCAGTTTTTCTGCAAGGCTACTTTCCATTCAGGTGATCCGGTATAGAAAAGCCAAGGACCTTTCAGAAATGAAGGAAACTCAGAGCCTTTTCTGCCATTTTTAAAAATTTGAGATGGTAAAAACAGGATTGGTTTAATGAAACAGCTGAACAAGTAAAATGTCCCTAATGAATGGTAGCTTTATATTCTTAGGAAGGTAAAAATTGAAATAATTTTCTAATCTATTTTAGTAGTCACATAGTGGTACTTTGTGTCTAGAAAGGGGGAAGGAGTGGAGTGGAGCATTTAAAATGGCACTGTGATGTATTTAAAAGAAACAGAATGCACAACCTCTGAGATGCCATTTTGTCTTGAAACTGAAAAAAGGAGCACCTTTTTCCTATTTCCTTGTCTTCCTCTGAAGCACAGATAGGGAACTACTGATAATAAGTTTGCTCATCCTGGCCCAACAAGCTAATTTCTAGAAATTCTGTTTTGACATTTGAGGACTGTGTGTGAAGGCTATGTATGGTATTTGAGGAGTTAGGATAAGAAGGCCAATTTAAAAACTACAGACATGACCAGTCAAGTAATTTGAAAGTGTTCTCTTAAGTCACTTAAAAGAAAAATCCAGAGTGTATTAATTTTATAGAAGAAGTAAGTAAAAGCAGTTATTCTATAGTTTTTTTAAATAATTTAGAACTCACTCATGTCTTAAGGTGTAAGGCAATACTTTCTCTGACATATGGGCCAAAGAGTTGTCCTCACACATTAAACATTGAAGTCCCAGGTTGTAAACTATTTAGAACTTCAGCAGATGTGAAGATTTCTAGCTTGTTTCCAAGAATTACTTATCTCCCTTAAAATAAAATGGACCATGGCAGTAGAAGCTTCTTTCACTTGTGAAATTTATTCATGAAATATAATATAAAAGAATAACATGTTTTTGTATTCATGAAATTAAAAAGAGTACCTTTTTAAGAAATGCACTTTGAAAATCTGTCATTCATATAGGAGGCAAAGTACTCATTTCTGTGTTATATAATGAGTTTCTAGAAATTGGTAAGAAAATCTAGTAGAGAGTATATTAATAGTTCGTATAAGAGGATATACACAAGGCTTTAAAACATAGGAAGTTCATCAACTTATGCATAATAATAACAATGCAAATTGGAACTATACTCAACTTGTTAGATTGGAAGAATTCCAAAAATCTGATAAAGTAACTGTTGGTGAGATTATTGGGAAATAGGCACAATCACATCTCGTTGGTGTAGATCCCCTGTACCTTACAATTTTCCTGTGTGCCTTTTTGTGATTACATTTTCATCCCTTCTCCCAGAGATTATTACCATCCTGAATTTTGTGTTATTCCTTTACTTTTTTTTCAATCAAACGACAGGTATTGATGAGCACTTACTGTGTGCCAGATGCTTGGGTTATATATGTAACTATTACCAGTGTTTTAACCTTTATATAAATAAGTGAAATCCTACTGAATATATTTTCTGTGACTTGCTTTTTTTCAGCTTTATGTTTTTATAATTCAGCCATGTTCACGCATGCATGTAATTGTAATTTAATTGCTGTGTTGTGCTGTGGTATATGAATATGTTATAATTATTCATTCTACAGTAGATATTTAGATTATTTGCCCTTTTTTTTTGCCTCCTATAAGCAATGCAGCCATGAACATTCTTGTACATATCTCCTGATAGAGTTCTAGGAGTGGAATAGTTGGGGTGTAGAGATCTGCTTGTACTTCCTTCGCTTTATTAGGTAATGCCATAATGTTTTACAAAGTAGTTGTACTAAAATACACTCCCCAAAGTAATATAGTTTCCATTTTTCTGTCTTCTTCCCAACACATAGTATTGTCAGCTTTTTAAAGTTTTGTCTGTTACTGATTGTGAAAGAGCTTCTAGTTCTCTTAATTTGTGTTTTCCTAATTGCTCGTAAGATTGAGCACCTTTTTATATATTTATTGGTCATGTTTCTTGTTTGAAGTTGCTATTGATGTCTTTTGCTCATTTTCACTTTTTAAAAAATTTTTTATTGTTATGTTAATCACCATATATTACATAATTTGTTTTGGTGTACTGTTCCATGATTCATTGTTTGTTCATAACACCCAGTGCTCCATGCAGAATGTGCCCTCCTCAATATCACTTTTTTTTTTTTAAAGATTTTATTTATTTATTTGACAGACAGACACACAGTGAGAGAGGGAACACAAGCAGGGGGAGTGGGAGAGAGAGAAGCAGGCCTCCCACTGAGCAGGGAGCCCGATGCGGGGCTGGATCCCAGGACCCTGGGATCATGACCTGAGCTGAAGGCAGATGCTTAATGACTGAGCCACTCAGGCGCCCCTTGCTCATTTTCATTTTAAGTATTTATTTATAGGAATTCTTAAGTTTTGTGTGTGTGTGTGTTTTTTTTTTTAAGATTTTATTTATTCGACAGAGAGACACAGTGAGAGAGGGGACACAACGGGGAGTGGGAGAGGGAGAAGCAGGCTTCCCACTGAGCAGGGAGCCTGATGTGGGGCTCGATCCCAGGACCCTGGGATCATGACCTGAGCTGAAGGCAGACGCTTAATGACTGAGCCACCCAGGCGCCCCAAGTTTTGTGTGTTTTGTATTGTAAATGTCGTCTTCTACTCTGGCTTTTCTTTTTGTTTTCTTAGGTATCTTTTAATGAGTAGATTTGATATTTTTATTGTAGTTGAATTTAAAAATCTTTATGAAGTCATAACTTGTGAAAGAAATCCTACCTTGCCCCAGGTCAGAAAAATGTTTTTCTGTATTATTTCCTAAAAGTTCTGTAAAGTTTTACTTTTCATGGTAAATTATCTCATTCATCTGAAATTTTAAAAAAATTTTTAATTGAGATATGGTTGACATATTAGTTTCAGGTGTATGACATAGTGGTTTGACAGTGTGTGTGTGTGTGTGTGTGTGTGTGTGAGAGTGTGAGAGAGACATTACAAAATACTCACCAGATTAAGTTGAGTTACCACCTGTTACCATACAACATTATTGCAATATTATTGACTATATTCCCTATGCTGTACTTAGTCCCATGGTTTATTCATTTTATGATTGGAAATTTTATTTCTTAATCTCCTTCACCTATTGACTCATTTCCTCCCCCCCATCCCCCCACCCCCCTGCTGGCAACCACCAGTTCTCTGTAAGAGACTGTTTTGTTTTTTGTTTGGGATGTGTGTGTGTGTTTAAAGATTCATTTATTTGTGGGGCGCCTGGATGGCTCAGTCGTTAAGCATCTGCCTTCAGCTCAGGTCATGATCCCAGGA